CACACACACACATTACCTTCTTCTCGCTTCACGTTGTCCCCTCTTATATATACCCGCCTACCCCATCTAGCAAACACTAGAGCATTCATGAAGAAACAAGATAGTTCTAGAACCGTGGCGTCACAGTGGTCATGTGACTCGCTGACGCAACAATACTAAAACCATACCATGAACAAATTCTCAAAACAACTTATACAAACCAGAATAACAACTCGTACGTGTTTTTTCGATCATAGCTACCTTTTCTGTTACTACTCGGGCATTTAATCAATAACTACTCCATGCATGTAGACAGTAGCATCAATATAGAACATTATTCAAACATTTTGGCCAAGACTGTATTTGTCCTTACAGCTGACGTCTAATTTTAATGTCATCGTCCTCATAAGGCCTGTCGTGGCCTAATGGTTAATGTGCTCGACTCACAATCTGCAGGTCACAAAAATTCGGCGCCAGTTCTAGTATTCATCAGTAAAGGATAGTCCAAGAGTTGGTGGTGAGACCTTTCGTAGATTACCTTCCCTGTGGTCGGCTGTTCAAAAACAAATATCAAAAAGTTATTGAGGTCTTGCTTGTTTGTTTATGGCAAAGCTACTTATCAAAAAGTGTTTAATGAGAAACTACAAAAATTGGGATCATAAATTGAATGAAAATATAACAACATTATATAGTACATAATAATTAGTTACACAAAACATAGAAGAAAATGTGCCAAATCAGTCGATTATGCAAATTAAGAATTACATTTGCTTTCATAAGGTGCTATATCATTTATTTTCTGGAATAAAATTGGAAGGTCAGGCTTAGCCTTACTTTTTATTGTGCTGTGAATCCAAAGATTTGTGGATCTCGTCCCGTTACCGCTCTTTGGAACCATGGGTACTGTTACGACAGCGAAAGTCACGCGACGCTTGGAGCATGCGTGATGAATTTCTCAAATAATCGGGGAACTCCGCGAATGTTGGAGATGTCTCTTTGTTAGTATATAAGCCTGGCAGAGAAAAGCCAGGAAGTTAAGCGAACAGTAGTTACAATGAGTTTCGGGTAATTTACGATTTTGTTTCGAGCTAGTGTGTCTTTTGCACTCGTAAAGAGTAAAGTTATCGAGATTGTGAATCGCTGTAATTTATAGTGTATATAGTGTTAAGTTTAAAGTGACGAGAAACGTACTGATTGTGGAATTATTGTGTACTAAAAGTTTGTATCGATTAAACTGGTTTAATCAAGAAAGGACTTGTATCGCTGAAGTTCCTCGAAACGAATTTCTATCGGAAATTAACAAACAAGCAGATACGTAACAGTACTTTATAAGAGTGACCGTCAAATCCTACTATTCAATCAGAGTAGTCGAATAGTTTGCATTGGTTGCTATTGAATAATGTCTTCCCTCTATTGTATCAATTGAAAGTTGGGGAAGCTTTGCGCTTATATATAAAACAAACAAACAATAATCTTGGATAAATAGATTTCTGGTTTACAAGAAATATGGATGTGATATAGATTTAATCAAGCTATTTATTTGAGTAAAATATGCTTTTAACATTTCAATACTTTATTTATTCTTTATATTAGTAAATGTTTCTTTGTTATTAATTGTAAAGCTACATAATGGGCTATCTGTGCACTACCTACTGCGTGTATCGAAAACCGAATCTTACCGTTATAAGTTCTCAGATTTACCGCTGTGTTACCGGGAGGCATTAGTAGATGTAAATATAGAATACAATTTTATATATCTGAAAAAAAAATCGGTGATATTCTTTATTTATTTATTTTTTGTAGTCTGTTTGAATACAGAAAAGTTGCTATGTAATTATTTACAATTCTTATACAACATTTTGTTTTAAGTTCGTGTAACAATTTATTAAACACTATAAATGAATAACGTATCAACTGAAAACCCAAATACCAAACGGCATGTTATAAAAAATATTATAAAAATCGAATCCTATATCCACATAGTGGCGCATGGAAATAATTTTTTGTTTTTGGAATATGGACAGTGCTTTTGAAATTTGTTTAGGCACGTGGAAATGTTTTTAAATCATTTCTAAACTTAAGAGACATTTCTAGTCATAACACCTCATTTTGAGTTGTAACTTGTAAGACTTTAAACCCAAATTAACCATAGTTTGTTGTAGCCGTAAGTATAAGAATTATATAAGATAATATTTCCACTGGTTTTGAACTATTGAAGGAGGTTTAGGATTGGATATCATATAGGATCCACTTGCTGTATATTTGCAAGTCTTTGAATCGAAAATGAGTAGTGGGTAGATGCCAAAAGATAAGAAGTTGGCTAATGTTACTTTTCTTTTCCAACAAAATTCAAGGAAGCTGATAAAAAATTGTCCCAGTAATTATAACTTGTAGGCCTATTACTATTAGTCTTACATCAGTGATGGGAAAAGATTTTGAAATCCTGATAAAAGTGCTTTCCAAAGTCATTTTCAAAGTTTAACATTTTATTTGATAGTTGACATGGTTTCACTAGGGAAAATTCTTGCTTTACTAGGCTTTTGACATTCTTTGCATAAGTTATTTCTAATGTAGATAACAGTATGGGTATGTATTTGGTGTATCTAGATTTTCAGAAAGCATTTGACAAGGTGCTACATAAAAAACTTGTTGGAAAAATTACTTCTGTAGATGTGGGGGATAAGTTGGTATTGGATGAAAAAGTGGCTGGATAAAAGAAAGAAGAAGGTTGTTATAAATGTAGTTCATTCAAACTTGATTAATGTCACAAGTCATGTACCCCGGGATTTATTGTTAGGACTTTTGCTCATTTTGAGTTTTTTTAATTACATCAATGACAAATGAAGGAATAGTCAATAAATTATTTTAATATGTACATATGATATTAAGGTGTTGGGTGTTGCTGGCTGTGTGAAGGATACTGCTGCTTTACAAAAGGTTTGGGATTATTTGGTGAGTTGGGCAAATGAATGGCAGGTGGACTTTAATTATAATAAATACAAGGTATGAGTATAATTTGATGGGAGTAACCTTAAAAGTATTATAAAAGAAAAGGATGTTTGTATTCTGGTTGATTAGTCTCTTAAGCTATCCACACAGTGTGCTGTTACTAGTGATAGGGCAAGTAGGATTTTAGGTTGCATCTATAGATTTATTGAATACAAGTCAAAAGAGGTTATAATTCAATTGAACAAGCTACTGGTAGGCCACATTTGGAGAGTTGTGTTCAGTCTTGGGCTTTTTACCTTGGGAAAGACATTGGATTGTTAAAAAGGGCTCAGACGAGGACTTACTAGGATGATACTTGGGATGAAAAGGCTGTCACATGAGAACAGGTTAAAATATCTTAAAGTTATTTTCTCTTGAAAAAAAAACAAAGTTAGAGGGAATCTGATTGAAGTGTTGAAAATTGTTAAGGAAATTGATACTGTTCGTGTATTTTTAATTTTTTGCATTTAATGGTGATAATAGTAGGACTAGGAGACTCAAATATAAATTTTGGCAGGGTAGGAGTTATCTTTAGTTAAAGAATGGGTTGCCTTCAGATGTAATTGATGCACTAAATTTAAGGAGTTTAAAGGAAGGTTTGGTAAATAATCGATTGATAAGGGTGGCTTTGAGTATTTATTTTGAATTTCAGTGACCTACATAAGTCGATTTCTGCCATTAAGTTTTGTTATATTAGTAGTACTTGATACATCACTGACTATAACAAGCTCGATCTTTGGGCATTGATTGTCCCACTACCAAGCTTTATATAACAAGTTACATACAGTTAATGATTAACTAAACTGCGTTACTGATTTATAGCTTTATCACATTTATGATGAAATATATTTACTTTAGATTTATATTTAAAAATATTTTGTAAGTTGCAACTTATCTATAATGATTATAAATGTGAAGGCAGTTTTTAAATTTTATGGGAAAATATAGTATATATTACAACTTACATTCTGAAGTGAAGTTAACACACAAATGTGGTTATAAACTTGCATTTTCATGTATCCAAACACTGAACTGGATAGTATCATTTTCATACATGCATTCCCTGACCTAGAAAACTATATAACTTAACATAGGACAGAAATTATATTTCACATTGTTTTTGGTGACATTTGAGACAGAATATATAACCAACAATGCCAGTCTTGAATATCATAATTTTTTTCCTGGATCAGTGTGCAAACTTGTTGTTTTTAGTATGTTTAGAATGTTTGAACTGGTGAACAATTTGAAAACCTAGCAAATGAAAGAAAGAATTCAACTCATTCAAAACATTATCATAATTTCAATTTCTTAACAGTTATAGTAAAATTGGTGATAAACAGCTGAATAATTTGTAATAAATCATGCAGAAACTTGCAAGGAAAATTGTGGAATAAAACATTTTTGTTAATTATTGATAATAATTCTAGCCATTATTCAAGGAATGTTTACTACAATCTTTGACCCTAACTGTAAAATAAAAATAATTATTTATTGTCATTGTTCAACAATTGACGGACTAAATATTCAAGTGCATGTCACTAACTGACTTGTTAATTAAATCTGTCTGTTGTAATGAAATCTCCAGCCCAAAACATTTCATTTGAAATACTGTATGTGCATTTATGTACTCATCCCTTATCATTCAATCAAAAATTTCAGAGAATTTAAGGTTGTATACAGAGTTGTTATATTATGGTTCTAGTGCGGTCATGGGAGTTCTTTGATGTCTCAGAGTGTTAAGTTCTACACTTGCTTTCTTAATAATTATCAACTGAGTTTAATTATCATGGATAAAGATTTCTATCAGTATTATCATAAATAGTCGTTTCATGTAGTAATTTAAAATGAGTGTTTATATGGTATGTATCACCTTTCATTTCTAACTTTCCCTTATTTCATAAAAGCTGTTAAATGAACAAAAATATTTTATGTCTCTTTACATGAATGTGGAGATTTGTAATGGATCTGAGATGAGAAACTTTGGAAAAACAACTTCAATTTTTACCACCTACTGGAAAGAATGTAAGAGAAGCCATGACCAATTTATGCTTCTTGGGAAATTACAACCATCCCAACACCATTTTTCTACAGAAGTGTTTAAAATGGTTTCAAATGAAAAGCCAGATTTAAAACAGACATGTAGTAAACACCAGAAAATAGTTGGACAACAAGAATTTAACCAAGAGTCCATATCCAATAATATAAGGGTGAATGCAATTGGTATACAGATGTTGTCAGAAGGGCTTCATAAACAAATATTTAGAAAATGTGTTACCAATTCTGATACAAAAAATATCAAGAACTGTATGGAGCACTTAAAGAAGCATGGATTATGGGGAAAGGTGAAAACATTTTTGATCAGTTTTGAATTGTTAATGAAAATAATATGTGTAAAGGTTTTGTTTGAGTTGTTTCTGTAGACATAGACAAATTCATGTGTGTGTGTGTGTGCATTTTTAATTTCATTATTAAAAGAATAAGAGGCTCTGAGTGAATTACCATAGATCTATTTGAAGTAACTTTTGTTTTTCAGTTAGATATATATATATACACACATATCACATTATTTACATGAAAATTCCCACAAGTTTATATATATATCACTATTTATCTCAGAAACTTGGAATTTCTCATGTTGTAGTCATTTCAGTAGAAGCTTTTTTTTGTTTTTAGCTGTTACAAGCTATATATATTTCATATTGTTACATTTCTTGTCGTTAGTTAATTTTCCGTAAAAATTCTTTCCGAAGAAACTTTAGCAATACAAGTCCTTTCTTAAATAAAACTGGGTTATTCTTTCTGAATACAACTTTGCAATACACTTAATTTCCACAGTCACGCCATAACAAATGTTATAATTCACAACGAACGACTCACGTGTTCGCTCAACTCAATTGTCAGTCTCTATCTCTGTCTGCAGTTCAATTACATTGTTGCTGTCACGTCTTGACCGTCTTGTATATACAATAATACCGAAATCTAGTAAACGCTCGAGCATTCACGAACCTTCAAGAATATGATGTGTTACTAGCGTCACATGACCCCCGCTGTCGTAACACTGCCCCTTCCTTAGTATTGTTCGTCCCGAACAATAGCCACTTACATTAAACCAATAGATAATTAACAATAACTTAATTAAATGTACAGAATTTACAAA